ATATATGTCGCATCATCTTTACGAAGATCGTTTAATTTAGTTTCTATTATTTTAATTGCTAGTTACTCGATTACTTAATTACTCGATTGTAGAGAGAACGTGATCATCGATACTTTTAATTTTATTAGAATGGTGACACTGACTTTGACAGTTCGTTAACAAAAAGCAAGTTGCCGCCATTCTTGGCACACATTCTGTTTCCGATCGCCGAGGAGTAAAGGCATCCGACGACATCACGCTCACCTCGTTATATTTTCGTATTAAAAGTGATAAAATGGAACAAATCCACGTTGGTATATACACCTGCAGTGTTATTTTAAAGATAGTCCTCCGATATGGACTATCTATTTGGGCTCCGTAATAGGCCCTCCTGACTACACGCCGACATATATCTTATCAACAATATAGTTGTGACCTTTCAGATGTTTTATGTTCTGTGCATTAATTAATCCGTCATAATTATCGCGTTGAGCTTAATGGAACGTTTGACAAATCAAAACACTTACTTACTACATCATGATAAGGATGACGTCATAAAAATAATATTTATGACAAACATTATGATTCGAGTTAATAAAGAGTTTCCATTGCATAATTATTATAATATAAATACAAAACCCATGACCTAAATTTGATACATTTTTCATAGGGCCATAAGCATAAGTGATTTTCAGAATCGTTTTACCAATTTAACATAGAACCTCCATTTTTTCAGGGTACCCAAAGAATAAAAACGGAAGTCTTATAACTAAGACTCCGCTGTCCGTACGTCTGTTACTAAACTGTATCTCATGAATCTTGAAAGTAAGATAGTTGATTTAGAGTAAGTACATATACAACAAACGTGATTTGTGTTTTTTTTTTGCACTTTTTATAAATATTATTACGGAACCCTACATGCGTGAGTCCAATTTCCAAAAGTCCAAAAGTCGATTAAAAGTGTGCACCTAAGTTATATCAAAATATTATAATATATATTTTTTAATATACACCAAAAGATTTTTTATTACATTATCTGTAGTACTTGCAATAAATAAAAAAGAATTGTTTCTTTTTTAACTCGTACCTAAAGATTAAATTATCATAAATCACTTTAACGATCTCATTGCTCCTAAAGACCAATATTATCTCAATTCTAATATCTTTGTCAATTAATTTTATCAGGAGAACCTTATTTGTTTTAATGGCGCTATTTATAATTTCGAAGACAAAATATTATGTGCATACATTTTGTCTTCGAAAATCGATTTTATCAATTTAAAGTAACAGAGATAGAGAAGATTATAAAATGAAGTCGTTGAATAAATCGTTAGCTCATAGTGGATAAGCGCAGCAGTCCGAGATCACTGTTGTGAAGCAACTTTCGCAAGGGTCGGTCACGGGATGGTCCAAAAATATATTCCACGCATAAGTTCAAATATTCCACCCAAACAAACATACTTACATTGCAAGATAATAAAATCTTTTAAAAATGTGAAGTCAATCGCCATCTCTTAGTGAAGTATTATTTTAATGTTACGATATTAGATATTTTTCGTTCATTACAACCTGAAATTGAGTTTATTATTATATTATTTCCAGTGACATAGCATGTCTTGGCGGGGCCCCGTATAAAATTTGTTTGATTATGTACGTTAAAGATTTTTCACATAAGAAAATTTTTTTTTGTATAAAATATGCGAATTTTAATCGTATATACATTGATTATTATGGGATTCCCCCGTTAAAGTTATATGACTTAAACGTAGATATCACGCAGCCGTGAAAACCTTTGTAGGGTGTTGCCAATTTTGTAACGCACGCTTTAAGCGGAAAAAAGAAATCGCATTTTTTACTTTTGTCATTTCTGAAATAAAAAAAAAATGTGGGAAGATTTTTTAATTTTTGCTTACGCACGTTGGGGCCCCCGTCGTCCGGGGGCCCCGTATAATTGATACGCATGTACGGCGGTAGCTACGCTTCTACGTATTTCTATTGAAAGTTTTTCAACGTCATCGCTTAATTTCAACTTTTGCAGGTAAAATTATGTTTCCGAACTTAGCAAATATAAGAGGAGTTATTAAGAAGGGAATAAACCTTTATCTAAAATCGTTATTCCATTCGCAAGATTACAAAATATATTGTATTTGAAAGTCATAGTATGAATTGAAACAATGCATTCCATCCTTTTCCTACCTTTGTCTCGTCCTAAACTATAAAAAATTCTTTTTAAGCCTCCTACACGATGTACTCTAGCTCTTCTTTTGACCGAACCTTTGATATTTTTCAACTCACTATCGTTTTTTTTCCTACTCATTTTCCGTGCATTCGGTACGTTTTTGGAATTCGTTGCCTGAACCCATAATGAAGATTTGCACTTTACATTTTGTTGCACAAGTGAAAACACATTTTCTTGAAAACACTTAACCATGTAAATGTATTTATATTTTTAGCTATTTTATTACTTTATTTAGATATATCCGTATAATACTCTGCCTTGCACCTACTCCTAGTTTATTTATTATATAGTTGTTTTTCCTTACGTCTTAGGTTACCTGGAAGAGATTGCTCCGTAGCAATAAGGCCGCCCTTAATAATCTCGCTCTTTTTAGCTTATCTGTAATATGTTCTGTGTAGCGAGCAATAATGAATATAATATTAGTAATTTTAATAAAAGAGCCTGTCTTTAACTTTATTATATAGTCACAATTACCTTAGTGATTGTGTAACTGAAGCGTCCTCTGTGGCCCTAGCGTGAACAATAATGGATTTCATGTCCAGGACTAATTTTAATTATTGTAGTAAAAATTTTAGTTATCTTTACGGAGGTAGGTGGCGTTGCTCAAATATAATATCAATAGAAAAATCTTACATTAGTGTTTGATGTAACTTATTGGGCACTTTCCATCTTAATGTCACTAATGACCCAAGGCATACTAATTTCCCGTTAGATAGAGTGTAATGCGATATTCTAATTACAAATTCATTGTATCATAATAATAAGGGCTTTGAAATTGAGGTCTGGTTATGGCTAACCCTTTTTAAATAGAATATGAAACACTTATTCTCGAGCCACGGCAGTGGCCCGCCAAAGCCAAAAGACAAACAAATAATTTATACTAATATTATAAAGATAAATTTGATTGTCTAATCGCATTAAATAGGAAGCTACTGGACTAATTTAAGAATTTGTTTCATATACGGAAAGATACATGATGCGCGAGTGACATTGGTTATAATCTGTGCTGGTGAAGTTACGAGAATACAACTATTATAAACATAAAACACGAATAATAATTAGATAGCAAATTTTAAGATGAATGCTAGTTGTATTTTAGTGATAGTGTTACTTTAATATACTTTATATTTCGGATTTTTTTCAGAAACTTCTTTTTTAACAATAAATCAGTGTATATTTTGATGTCAACTATTGATATTGTACGAGATTTGCAAAAGAAACGTCGAGTCAGTACCTAAGCAATATAAAATGTTCAGTCATTTCGAAAGCTAAGGTTCCCGTTTTATATACGTACATTCTTTTGAATTTAGTACTACATACAATAAGTATGAGCCTCTTCTTGCCATCAAATTTATGACAACCGCATCTCATAGCGTGACACGCTTATTTTATTATTCATGCCTTTTGAATTTTATATCTGTCAGCGTGAAACTCTGGAGAAACATTCACTCAAAACTTGGCCTGTGAGCTTTCAACAACATTGATTTGAAGGAGTATTAATAAAAACAAATCGGTAATTTTTTCGCGTTCCTTTATAATTTTAGTGTAGCATTGTGAATTTAAAATTGACCAAAAATATAATGGAAAATTTAAATTTTATCAGATCAAACCAATTTTCTTCACAAACCGATTTACAATATTCTAGTATTGACATTGTTCATTCTCATTCAAGTACGATGTCACTAATTTTATCTTTCACAGACAAGTTGCCGAAGACATCAGTTAAAAAACAGACTATTTTACATATTTATAAGACCAGATTTCGTAAAACTATTAAACCTTAATTTTAAGGGATTTCTAGGACATAAAACGTAGATTAGTCTTCACTCAAATTGAGCTTTTGTTTGAGCCGAGCAATTTGCATTAGACGTCTCGTGGGATATTTACCTTGACTTATGTGGATTTGTTAAATTAATAGGGAAAGACATTAACCGTCTTGATTACACATAAGCATTATTATATGAGCCAGACAATCTTGAACAGATTGTGAGACATTCATCAAAACTTAATTTGAATTAAATATCATATTTATACACTCTATACTCATGGCTATGTTATTAAGGCGAGGTTGTATGAAATCACAACTTTTTAAACCAATATTAATCTAAGGGAATGATAATATTTGCGAAATAAAAATCATTTTATGAAAATTGATTGCTTGCTACGAGTAAAAACAGAACATAAATTTTAATGATTGGCTTAATAGAAAAAGATAAAATTTATTTGAAGCAATTTTGCGACTTATTATATTTGATCTGAACTATATAAAAATAGGTTGTGATATAATATAAAGTAAAGGGATGGTTTTTATATAAATGCAACTGTTGTTTTTGTGATAAAAAATTATGAACACGTCTTTACTCTCGATGCGTATTTGTATGGGAATGTAAGCGGAGGTAATAGAGAGCGGAAAAAATTACATTAATATGTTAACAAGTTTTCTCATAAAAATAAACGGATTCCATTTGAAAATGTTGCATTCTAGACAAAAGATTATAGTAAGAATTATTATTAAGGTACACATAAAGAGTGAACATATTTGGTCTTTTTAATAGTGCTCTTCCACTGTCTCAGCACGCATGCACCGGCCGCACGACACGCAAAGGATTGTACAGATTTTACTATGAATAATCCGTTTGTCAGTTTTGACATTGAAATTATTTTGCCGATGTAATACTCTGCGTCCACATTTATAATAATTTAAAGTGAACGTCCATATTGCGTGCGTGTGGGCAATATGGGCGTTCATCTTATATAATAAGTAGTAATGAAATAGTCTTACCTCAACACGTTGTGATGCGCTAGCGCACTTAGTGTGTGATGTGGCGAAGGTACGGGCAGTGACGCTACAATAGCTGGTTTTCCTGTACCTTGCATCACTCGTATGCCCATTCTGACGATATTTCTTCTTGACACCTTCTCATCTGCTCGATCCGCTGGAAGCAGGTTGGAAGTTATTATGACTCGTAAAAGGAAAAGAGCTATTACAAGGCGTATGGTAAAATAATAAACCGTCCAATTGTGAGTCAGATAAGCGCTCGAAAGTTCCGTATCATTTATGGGAACGCCCTTAAATATTTATTTTATTTTGTTTTTCAGTATTTGCTATTAAAGCGACAACAAAAAAACCTTATCTTACCTACCTAAGTATCACGGTTCATAAGATACGACTTGGTGATAGACGGACGGACAGACAGCGGAGTCTTAGTAATAGATTGTCCAATTTTGTTCTTTGAGTATGGAACCATAATAAGGATAATATCTTGAATGCGAATGGAAAATAAGATGCATGCATACAATTGACTGCAATAACGAATAATACCTGCACTTAAAATTAATAAATACACCCAAAAACTAAAATACAAAATTCACTTCATCGTTTTAAATAGGCATGTACACAAAAAAATCTTTTCCATATTAATTTTCGGTTTGTTTTATCTATAGGATTTATTATGGATATGAAAGAGAATAGAAGTACCAAGTGAAACGCGTTCATACTAACTTGAATCTTCATGTACACTTCACTGATTCGCTCAGGTATCATCATCATCATCAACCCTTTTACGTCCCTATAGCAGGGGCTCAGGCCTCATGTATAGATGGTTAAGGAGTATGGGCTATGACCCTCCACGCTGACTCAATGCGTAGGGCATTAACGACGGCAAATGCAGCCGGGACCAATGGCTAGACGTGCCTTCCGAAGCACGGAGTAGCGCGAGATAAAAAAAAATGTTGGTCACCCATCCCACGACCGACCATTGCGAAAGTTGCTTAACAACAACAATCGCGGGCCGCGGTGTTTATCCACTACACCACTCAGCAACTCCTACAGAGACATGTCAGTAATCATACTTTCATCATATGAAGATAAGTGTCTATACTAATATTATAAAGAGGAAAGAAATGATTTTTTGCATCGGATAGGCTCCGAAACTATTGGACCGATTTTAAAAATTATTTACCTACGGGAAGCTATAGCAGTAGACAAGGGCGATATTTTATCCCGAACAGCCGAACTCAAACAGCCGAAAAAAATATTTTCACCAATATTTAAACTTTCGATAAAGATGATTTTTTTTTTCTTATTTATTATATGTCATAAGTTTTGGATTCACAATGCTATACTGAAAAATATTTTTAATTTGATTTGAACATTTATGTTAGGTCCTGGGTATCTCAGTGGTTAGAGCAGTCGCCCGGATTGCAAAGGGCTCGAGTCCCATTTTAGAGAGTCAGGGACAGCGTGGATTTTAGTAAGCATTTTTCATTCATATTATTCTTTTTTTTACTCAGCCATCATCACAGTACGCTTTTAATAAACTGACATGGAAATTGTGGAGTTTCAAATTATTCGAATAGTGTATTCGAATTTACTTATGCAGATATTAGGAACGAAATCTAAATTGCAAAGAATATGACAATTTCGAAGATATTTTTTACGTTAATATGTTGAAAATAAAAATTTAATTGATGCAAATTTTAACAATTCAGAAATACTTGATCAAATTACTACCTTTATTATAATCGAACAGCCATAATGATAAGGAAATAGATAAATCACGGGAAAACAAATAGTTCTAAAATAAAATAAATATTTTTTTTTTATTTTTTTATTTTTTATTTTTTTTGTTCTTATCTGCAATCAGTCTCGAACTATAAGCAGATCCGTTCCCTGGCTTTCATTATGTACAGGAAGCTCCTCAGTAGGAGGTTCCTCGTCCTTCACCATCTATTGCCAAGATTTTGTATGTCATGGCGTCGTAGTCGTTTAATGTAGCTGATCGTCGCTAACTCGGTAGCTAGGTCGTTTGGATGATTTTCTAGTCGCGTTATATACTTATTTCCTGTCAGCTTCAATTCCTCTTTGACAGTTCTTATGTTCAGAGCTTTATGGATCTCAGAGTTAGTGATAAACCATGGTGCATTTGAAATAGTTCGCAGGATGCCATTTTGCATCCTTTGTATTATGTTTATATTGGAATCGCTAGCACTGCCCCATAGTTGTGCCCCATACATCCATATTGGTTTCAGGATCATCTTGTATATAAGCAACTTGTTGTCAGTAGCCAATTTAGAGTTACGTGCTATTAACCAGTAAATGTTTCTAAATCGCATACTCAGTTCATCTCGTTTAGTCTTGATGTGCTTCTTCCAGGTTAATTTCTTGTCCAAATGCATGCCCAGATATCGAACAGAGTCACTTTGTGGCAGGACACTATCACCCATTTTTACCGGGGGACAACTACCCCTCCTCAACGTAAACGTTACGTGCACCGACTTAGTTGAACTGGCTTTGATTTTCCATCTCTGTATCCATTCATCGACTTTATCAAGGCTATTTTGTAAGATGGCGGATGCTGTGACCGGATCTTTACTGCTTGCTATAATTGCAGTGTCGTCAGCGAATGTAGCTGTAGTTACCCCTTGCGTTTCTGGAAGATCAGCAGTGTAGATACTATATAAGACGGGGCCAAGGACAGATCCCTGTGGGACTCCCGCCATTATTTCTTGAATATTAGATAGTTCTCCATCTTCTCTCACTTGGAATATTCTGTTAGTGAGATACGACTTCAACAACAGGTAATAACTATGCGGTAGCGACGTTTTTATTTTATAAAGAAGGCCTTTATGCCACACTTTATCGAAGGCTGCCTGGATGTCCAAAAATACAGCGGAGCAATATTCCTTTTTCTCAAAAGATCCTCTGACCTTATCACACACCCGGTGCACCTGTTCTATCGTGGAATGTTGTTGCCGGAATCCGAATTGATGTTGTGGTATTACCAGGTTTTGATTAAGTATGGGTGATATTCTGCTCAGGAGAACCCTTTCAAACATCTTAGACAGCACAGGCAGGAGGCTAATGGGTCGGTATGATGTCGCATCTTCCGGAGGCTTTCCTGGTTTGTGTATCATTGTTACTATAGATACTTTCCACAACCTGGGAAAGTATTGCACTCGGAGCACACCATTAAAGAGAACCACTAGAAAAACCAATGCTTTCCTGGGAAGTTGCATGATAACTTCTTTTGTGATGAGGTCAAATCCAGGAGCTTTTTTGTTTTGTAGTCCATTTATGGTTCTCTTCAGTTCCCCAATTGTGACAGGTCTTGGTGGAATGGACAGTTGTAAGTCCTGTTTCAATGTATGTTCGACTTCATGTTCAAACTCAGCATTGTTGCCTTCGTTAGGTGTAAAAATGGCGGCTAGGTGTTTTGCAAACATGTTAGCTTTTTCTTTGCTAGTCCTAGTCCATCCCGTTTGAGTTCTAATGGGGCATTTATATTGCTGTGGCCTGTCTAATGCTTTTGTGAATTTCCAGAGAGAGTATTCTGTTGATTTTGTGGCAGTTAGAGTTTCTAATTTGTTTTGCAGTGTAGCGCTATTTAATTTGTCAATTGAATCTTTCAAATCTCTGATAGCTCTATTGAGTGTAGTCTTATCACTTTTATGTCTAGTTTGATGCCATATCCTACGTAATCTTCTCTTCTCTAGAATTTTGCGTTTTATCTCAAGAGGCACGTTTCCCACCGCTTGATAGTTAGTTTCTCTTTTTAGGGGAGTGTTAATCCAGGAGGCCTTTTGTATTAGGTTAGTAATGTATTGTGTTGCATCATCTATGTCATCCGGTGTTTTCAAGGAAACTTTTATCTCGATGCTTTCGTTAATGTACCCTCTGAAACCTTCCCAATCAGTAAAACTATTGAACAATGTCTCAGGCTTCTCATGCCTGATTACAGTCGTACTAATAGTTAACAGGACAGAAGTGTGATCTGAACTACTGTCAAGACAACTTTCAGCCTTCATATAATTAGCTGAGAGTCCCTTTATAACAAAGAAGTCTAATAAGTCCGGTTTTTTATTTGGATCTGTGGGCCAGTAAGTTGGTTCTCCTGTTGAAACAGAGGTGAGTCTGTTTTTATCAAGGCTTAGTTTTAGCTGCCTGCCTCTTGTTGTTGTTAGTCTTGAACCCCAGTACGTATTTTTGGCGTTCCAATCACCACCGGCCACAAATCTTCCCCCCAGTGTTGAGAAGTATTCTGTAAAGTCTGTTGCACTTATATTATTATATCTCGGTGGACAATATATTGCTGACAGGTTAAGTTGTCCACAACGGCCTTCTATCGAAATGGTCGTAGCCTGGATATGGTTCATTCTAAATTCCGGGAGTATTTGGTGTTTGATGGAGTTTTTTATTACAATTGCTGTTCCTGCATGGCCCGTACCATCAGGATGATAAGTTATGTAAGTGTTGCATCCTTTAATGTTGATTTTGCTTTTATTTGTACAGTGTGCCTCAGAGATTAAGACAACATCAAGTTGATTGTTATTCATCAGGAGTTCTAATTCAGTCTTATTTGGGGCAAGGCCATTAATGTTCCAAGTGGCCACTCTCAGGGCCGTCATTTTGTAATTTTTTCGACTAGGTTTACTATAAGGCTCATAAGAGTGCTCATTTGTTGTAGGATCATGTCGAATTTCTCGGACTGCCTGATTAATAGTTCTTCTATCTTGCTGTTTATGCTAGCTACAGGAGTTGGTTCGATTTTATCTTCTTTCAATTTTTCAGAGTAGAGTTTTTTCTGCCACTCATGTGTTTCTTTAAGATGTGGTGTAGTATCTAAAGCAACAGTTTTACTCGGTGCCTCTCGTATTTTTCTCGTAAACAATGGGTTTCTTGCCATTCGTCTTTCTAGGATCTCTTTGTAGACCTCGCATCCTTTGTAGTTGGCTGGATGTGCTCCTTGGCAGAGAGCGCATTGTGCTGGTGTGTTGCGATCTTTTTTTGGACAATCCGATGTTTTATGTCCCTGGGCACATTTCACACAACGGTATGGTCTCATACAATAATTTTTCGAGTGACCGTACTGTTGACACCTTTGACATTGTGGTAGAGTTACTTTCTTTTTTGGATCTTCGATAGTTATAGACTGGTGATAGATATACTTAATATCTTTCACCGCTGCGTTGTTTGCTCCTGGTTCGATGTTTACAAAGAAAGTAGAGGTTGGTTTTTTTTCAGGTCCAAATTTTGAGTTTATAATTTCCCCGCGAACTTTGTTTCCAGTGTTTTCGATTGCTTCTTTAATTGCACCATGTGGGGTAGTATGGTGTAGATTTTTTATTACTTCTTTGGGGTCTAGGGGTAATCCCTTATATCTATTGCTTGTTATGATTTTTTCAGGCGAAGGGGATTGAAGTTTCTGTCTTTTCCGCTTTTGGTTTCTACTAATAGGGATTCTTTGCCAGTCGGGTGGATTTGGTGTTAACGTGTCCTGTACTATTGTAGTAGCAATTTCGGTCGGAGAGATATTTCCCAGCGATGAGCTTCTAGTTCTTACGAACAGTTTAGGGTAGAGTGACTGTTGTACAAGTCGTTTTCCCAGTAGTATTCACTAATGCAGAGGCCTGGTTACTCACCTCTACACAGTCTTCGGTAACAGATTTCACACCATGAGGCCCGGGTACCTCATGGCGCCGGGGGTTAGCCGGATCGCATGACAAATCGCATTCTTTATTGTCCATTATTTCATACTAAGGAGGTGGGAAAATAGTAGCAGGTGTTTCCCATGCACCTGCCCTCGGTCTTTTTGAGGATATTTAGTCACTCATGGTCTCCGACAACCACTTTGATGGGTTAGTTGACCGCCGCCCATGGCTCGGCGTTGACTATTGTTTTATGGCTATCTTACATGCTTCGATGTTATATAAGCAAGTTTCGTCGTTCACAGCCAACCCTCCTCTTTTCTCATTCGGGCTTGGGACCGACAATGGCAGAAAATAAATATGAAACAAAACCTATTAATTTCTAGCTGTTAAACATGTTAAACGGTCCGTTTGTTCAGTCCATTAAAGTTTATTGTCTCTAATTAATGTCAATTTTTATAGGTTATGTTGCTTTAAGCTAATGCCATTTGTGCAACTAACTGTAACTGATCCATTGAACAATGATTACCTATCAGAGTTAAGGACGATGCCATCAAAATGCCGGCTGCGTTCTGTTGTGGTTAAATGCAACAGACACGCAATTTTCCAGCTTAATTTGTAATGTATTGTTGGAATATTGTTTGAATTATAGTATCACGGGGTGCGAAATTTAAATTAAATTTTCTGCTTCTGATGGGATTATATGTGATTCTTGGAAACAGGATGAAAGTCACGGTCAATGTTTACATGATTATTTGCTTCTCTAATTTTAAATGAAATAAAACAATATAATGTTTTCTAAAAGGTACAATTGTGGCTACTAAAAATTAATTTAAATCATTTAAAACGTACCAAATTCATCATTTGACGAATAAAATAAAAGGTATATTTTTTTGGAATAAAAGTATGTAAAAGTAGTGAATTTAATTAAGTAAAATATAATATTCCAAAACATTGAGAGCTTTGCTGTATGATCATTACTAGACTTATAATCGGCTTTTAAAAATTTTGGTCTTTCTATATTCTTAATGTGATGTGATGAATCATAACGTCCTTGTTTCTCTACTACATACTTTCAAAAATTTTCCCTACTGCGAAGTATCTCTACGAACTATACGAATGAAGATTCCATTATAGGCTTGCGTATATATTGTATGTATCTTGATTCAATAGAATGAGCTTTGTTTTAGAAAATAAAGATCCTGTTCCAATTTAACAAAACATTACAATATTCCATCTCTACCACATCTAAGTAAACACCTAAAACGCAAATTGGCTCAGCTAACGAATGTATTTGAATAATTTTGCATCCACTTATAAAGCACACTCCGCGAATTACTAATTAATTTTCTAATTACAAATGGTTATAGTTCAAATTTGCATAATATTGTTGCAAAGAAAACTAAATCTTTGCGTGCGATGCAAGATGGAGCTAAATGTAATATGAAAGTGTTCTTATTACTCTTGAAGGATTTAACCGCCTTAATGAGACCGAGGGCTAATTGTGTAATTTGAAAATCTATTTAATACCTTTTGAAGGTATTCCGATTGTCATAGCGATTTATGAAATTATATAACTTTTGAAATAGTAATCGTTTTGAGAACGAATGATGATTTGAAAGATCAAGGTACATATAACGAATTGAATCGTAATGATGGAACTGTCGATATTTTCAATAATAAATTCTCAAAATATAAAAAAATAATATCAGACAAATTTCTATAATTATAATATTAACACCAGTTAATATTTAAATTTACTGTATACTAAAAGTTACTTAAGGATCTGTTCATGTTGTAAGTTAATACTGTTCATGCTGTGTATACTGTTTTTAGATTATAGTCTAGTCCAAATACTTTAAATATGTTTGTAGGTTTCTCTTTTGATTATGATCTGTTTGTGTACCATTTATAAATAAATAAATAAATAAATAAATTATAAAAACTTAGTTGTACCCTTCAATATATTGCATATGTCGATATATTATAGCATTCAAACATTTCAATAGCTTTCAAAGACATTTGCGTCTAACGCCAACGTCCATTAAAATTGTCATTAGATTAAAGTGACGTTACTGATACAAATTTGACATTCGATACAGCTTAAAGATGTTCATTAAACGTTAATGGACGTTTGTGAAACTGACCGTTAGCTAATTCTAATTAACGTTAAATTAACGATATCGTTCATTTAACACATTTCAAAACAAACATCGCGATCGTAATCTGTTTATCATGTCAAATAGATGTAGCGTGAAGTTTGTGAATGTGTTTCAAATGTCTAATTAAAAGAGGCTGTGATAGATTTTCAGATTAGTCGATTAGGCCCCATCTTAGAAATGATATTTTTTTGTTAGTAGTATATAGTCTTACAAAACAATGACGATTTTTACGGTGAATATGTGTTTAGGTTGTAAGTTTAATGGGCGAATATTCTTGCTCACCGGCAGACATATGAAAAAAAACAATACGATTCAATGTTTTACTCTGGTGAAAATATTAAAATTTAAATCAGTGGCCTGGAAGTGCATCCGTATTTTAATATTTTTTATCGAAATAACATCCCCTTTGAGCACGCAAGCGAAGCTGTACAACTACACAGTACAAAGTGGTTATAATATATTTTATTTTATATTATTGAAACACCAAATAGGAATCGATAGAAGAATACATTTAGGTTGGGCAGCTTTTCGTTAATTACATCGGCGTCATCTATTCCACAAATTCTAAAGCAAAAGTCTTTCCACAGTGTGTCCTCCTTGTTATGTATGACATACGGAGCCGAAACGTGGACGTTCACAGTATGACTTGTCCATAAGATGACAATCAGAAATAAGGTGGTTAGTCATAGAATTAAAATAATTGACATAACCAACCGAATTAGTAAGTTGAAGGCAACGGGCCACTTCAACTTACTGATTCGGTGGGTTATGACCACATTGGCTATAGAACCGACAATCGTCGGGGCTAACATAGTATGCTTGTTAACACACTCTAGAGTGGAGACCGTGGATCAGCAAGCGCAGTGTGGGACGCCTTAGATAAGGTGGAAAGACGATCTTCGCAAGGTGTTTAGCAGAAACTGGATGTGAGTAGCCGAAGATCGAGTTCGATGACGTGCACTTGGAGAAGCCTATTTACAGCAGTGGACGAACAAGGGCTGATGATGATTAGGGAATACAATTTCGGCCTTTTTTAGCGAGACTGATCTCGGTCTAAAAATGGGCTAGATCTCGTGAATTTAACGAGATTGTACTTGAGCACAAAAGAGACTTATTCTAAATACGGAAGAGTGAATTTATGCGAGTCCAAAATCGAGCGTAAATTCGAGGGGTCAAAAGGCGAAGTTTTAAAATTTTACGGTACTTTTGTTTCCGAAAGGGCCTTCTCAGCGGTTTGTTATCTGACCAGCACAATAAGGAGAAAATAAGTAGGCGATTCTTTGGATATTTTGTATTTCTTGAGAAGTTAGTTATTGGTAATAATAGCGTGCGAGGTGAACTGAACAAACCTTTAAATTTATATTATATTTTGTTATTTTTTCTGTAGTTCTTAATAGATCTCTGAAAATGCATATTTTTTTATCTTAGTTTTTTATTTCTATTAATTCAAATTACATACTTAATGAACTCATTAAGTATGTAATTTGAATTTTAATTTTATTAATTTGAAAACAAACTTGTTTTAATTTTTGATTTCTTTTAGTTTTGTTATAATATAACTGTTTAATAAAACACTTTTTTATATTAGCAGAAAAGTTTGGTGGTTTATTTCAATTCGTATTTGATTATAAACGTCAAAGTTTAGTACTTAAAAGTGTACCTGGATGACCAACCGAATTAAATCGATTTATCGCCCCTGCATAATAAATTTCATGAAATTGTTAGAGTCGTTTCCAAGATTCGGATTATAATACAGAAATCACTCGTTTGAAAGCAGTAGATAAAAAAATATAAGATTATGTCAAACAATATTAAATTCATAAAATTTTATTGAAAATACCCGTAAAAATAAAAGTTTATTTCATAATTACACACAAAAGAGTCAATCTCGCGAGATCTCGAAATTGGTGAGATCTCGCGGTATTGGTATTCATAAACTTGCGAGATCTCGCCCGAGGCCCGATCTCGCGAGATTGCACGCCCTAATAATGACGACGATATCAAAACACCAAATACAACATTGTGCCGTTGGATGTACAGTCGACACCACGTGAGGTTGCTACAAAAGGCTAAACTAACTGATGTTGATTTGTTGATAATTAAGTTTCAATTGGATTGTAGAAGTCAAGCCTTTTGTAGAAACCAATATACCAGCTGTGTGTATATGTTGACAATTAGAACTTAATACTTACCAATGAAAGCTCGTACGTCATACGACGTTCCTATTGGTGCTCCGTGATATTGTTTAGCTGGCACCAGTTGTACGCTAGGTGGCGCCAGAGGTGTAAGCTCCAAGTGGAAGGGGAATGCGTAGGCACCTAATCTTTTCACTAATGCATCCTGTTAAAGATTTCATACATGTAATCTATATTTTATTTTTTTTATTTTATATGGATTTGAAAGTGAAAGAAATTAAAATATCACTCAGATTCAGCCGTTATGTAATTAACAGATTAGTTTTTGTAAATATTTAGAGCATTAAGAAATATATCTTATTAGAACAACACGGCAGCGGTTCCGGCAGCGTCACCTAAACCTGTTAAATTGCTTTACGATGTAACTAATCCCACCACATTTGGCAATGGATTGGCGATGGCACAATTGGCGTCGACACCTGAATACTGACGACGTTCCCAAGATAATGCATACGTATAAATGTCTGCTTTCTGATTCGACCGTCGACTGCAATACTAATCGTCTTACTAATTTCTTTAGGCATTCATTTTGGCATTCAATGAAATATATCCCTTACCTATATTTCTTTTTCGAAGTGTTATTGTATTGAAATTCCCTTTGACATGTGAATAGAATGAATACTCATTGAAAATTTTCCTGGCTAAGTTGAGTCCAAGGTATTTTTTATAATAAATTGCACTGCTTAAAATGTTGAAATAATATAAAAATACACGGAGAGCTCGTGACAAAAATGTACTAGAGTTTTGTATCGGTTGATACTTCAGTCGTATTCGTCAACCGATGAAATACCTGGGGTATGATCTTATAACTATCTAACCATGATTATGGCCATAGGATACGACATCTTACCAATCTTATGGTAATATTTCGTTTTCATTTTACTTCTTTCACATGTCTTTTAGTGCATAAATTTGGGATAAATATAGTAATTTGATAACGCTGCTGTCAAAACCATAATCATTATCCTATATCATTCGTTCATCGTTAATAAAGTACATGTTAAAGAACTAAAATGAAACTAAAATCGTTGCATTAAAAGAGCTTCGTAATACATAGTTAAAAATGTGCGACACTTCTACATACTGTAGTTTTAACTGTTAGAAAAATGTTACACATTTTTGTCACGATCTCCTGTGCTATATTGTCATTTAGTCGGTGTTGATTGACAGGTACGTTGCTATATGTGCACGTGTATTTTTAGCGTTACTAAATGATATAATAAGGTTCAATATCACAGGTGTACAGTTACTCGACTGTGGCGAAACAAATGAAGCTCTTTTACCTGTAAAGGAGTGTTGGGTTCCCGCTCGTGATTACAGTGCATCGGGTACACCTGCGCCAGACTCATTATCGCTTCGTTGCAGAATTTTAATCCCATTACTTCCTCGTCTTCTCTTCCGTATCTGTAAAGTAGCACTCATTATATATGTAATATCTAATGTTTGTTTTTAAGTGGCTAAGTATTTCTTAATGGTAAACCAGAACAAGAACTTTTTCTCAATAATCGCTGTTTCAAAAATGACGATTATATAAATACATTGGTATTTAATATATTCAGCTGCTTTAAAATAAGTTTTCAATGTGATTTTCGTATTACATGCTTACTTTATAAGCCAATATACTTTAGGCTTTTATCTCAATTGTACCAAAGCAATTGAATGTGATATATGTCTTTCAGACAATATTTAAGAATATTACATACAATTGAAAGGAGAACTTTTTTGTGTGGAGGTTGGTACTTTAATCAAACTATCTCTAACCAAGCATAAAGTATATATTAATAGATAGAGGGTAAATAAACCTTATACATGATCATTTTATATTATTTTTAGGCGCCGCCAAAATATTTATTTTCTGATTTGTACATCATTCGGTGGATATTTTACAATTTATGTAGCAACACATAAGTGCATTAAGAAAATCTATGGCAACCCCATCCCTAAGTTACGTTCCAATTCATGCTGTGAATTAATCTATTTGGACAATGTGTAATCATTATTTTTATTTGCTATTAGTTATTGATATCTTAGACATCTAAATGTCAAATACAGAGATATTTTAAACGAATGGAAGCTTGTCGATGCAGATTAGGCCCGATTTGAGTCTATTCGAGTCGTAACTTATTATAATAAATACATAGTTAACAAATGATTTCTTTGATTTTCACAATATTATTATATGATAAGGTGCTTTGTAGTAATACCCAAAACAGGCAAATCTTGAAAGTGACAAATTAACAACAAATCAGGCATTTTGTGTCGGTAAAGTTGAGTTTTAAACAGGCTTTTACTAGATAATAAACTTTATATAAAACAAACATTTTTTTTTGTTTAATTTCGTTATCGGAATTTCCCCGCTTTCATAATTACCCCAAAGTACCCTACCGAATGTTAGGCAGTAGGCAAAGATCCCTTTGCCTTTGTTTTAATTTAAAGCGTTTTCTTTTTTTAAATTGAGTTTTATGGCTGTGCATATTAGTGTTTCCAGGAAAACTATATATATTTTTTTTACTTAATTCTCTAAAACGGGGTAACTTTCAGGCCTGAAACTTTGTGCTATGATAATTTTCTTTATAGTGGCTAGATTTTTTCGGAATAAAGTACCAAAAAAAAAACATTCTCCTTTAAATAATAATTTATCTAAAACCGTTTCAAAGAAGATTTATGCAGAGCCAGCAATTCCTTTCTTATAAATTTTCCTATAAAATATTCTAAATAGCCTAAGTTCACTTTAAAAAGGAAAAAATAATAAAATAAACTCATTGTTACGGTAGGTGAATGTGTATTAATAATTTAAAAAAATAATAGGTCGCTTTGGGGGATGTTTGTAGAGGTTGGATTTTTATTTTATACTTTTTATAGGTACTGTAATATCCGTGTACATTACTATGACTAGAAGAAAGCTTGACAGGTAGAGAATGCTAGTAGCATTATTTCTGCCTATTGATCCATTCCAACGGTCAATAAAGATTGTTAAATAAAAATAAATAAATAATATTTTAAAATATAATATACCGCGTTCGAATTCCTGTCTTGAGCATTGATAATCTTTGTTTCAGGTTGCCTCCACCGTAGGGATAATAGCATCAATATGTTAAATTTTAATAATAACTAATCATTATATATACTAGAAGTAAATTGAAGAATATTAAATAGAAGTAATAATAATAATATAATAATGATTTATTTGCTTTTAAATGAGGTACATTGTAGATTGAATTAAAATTTGAGTTCAGCCCATTTAGCCATCAACTATTGATAAAATTACTTATGCATTTAATTATGCATGCAAATATTGATAAAATTACATTGGATATATGTATGTCAAAATTATGAAATTAGAAATATCATTGTTACATAAAACTATTAAAGAGTACAATAATTATTCCCACTTGAAGAATGTCAAACAAATTAAATTATAAAATCAGTGTCAATATAAAAGTAGATAATGTCCAATTGAAGAGAAAAAAAAAATAACAAACAAACGAAAATATCACACATTTAAAGACATTACACAATTCACAACATATGCATTCGTTACTTATTTGTATGATTTAAATATTCCCTAACACTATAAAAAGCATTATCACACAATCAAATAAATAGTGCCTTTTTAAAGCTATTAAATGGAAGATTCTTAATGCTAAGGGGGATATTATTAAAAAGCACAATACACATCCAATAACAGTTATTCTGGAATCTCGCGCTCCTTGGAGTGATATCATTAACCAAACTTTTTTTTTTTTTTTTTTGACGCTGAGAAATGCGTTACGCATACCCGCTTCACCCTGCGCGGGCTCCACGGGTGGGTGGGACTCCTCCTGTGGCCCCACCCCCGAAGGGGCTAGACAAGAAACAGGAGTTTACCCACTAAAACTCAGCGATGTCCCTCGCATGGAAGGCGATGCGCGGGATCAGCCCGAAGGCCATACACCGCGCCGTTCGCCCCCATTTCGGCCCGCCCTGAAAAGGGCAGGTCCCACAGCGGGTTGGGAGTACGTCTCAGAGACATTCGAGACGCACCCCCACGACGAGGCAGGAGCGTGCAATGCCGGCCGGTGCGCGAACCGGCCAGCTGCCCCTGACTAGAGACCAGAGATGCGCAACTGTGCAATCTCCGGTCCCCTACCCATCGTGTTGGGAGGATCCACACAGGCAGAGCCCTTATCGTGGATCCCCCCCCCCCGTAGGTCGGTGCGCCACAGAAGACCGACCTCATCACGCCCTGTATCAGCTTCGAGGAGCAGACAGGGCGCGTCCAGCCGGTCGACTGGTTGCATCCCCTCTCGTCGCGCCGCGGCTGCGGCCCTACCGAGGTCCCGGCGCCGCACCAGTCGTCGAGCAAGCTCAGCTCAGTAAGTCCCCAGGTAAGTACCCAGGTAAGTACCCACTATACTACTCTAGACTAGTACGGCGTGTAGATGTGTGTGTGTAAGATGCATGAATGTGTGGTTGAAAGTGTATGTATGCCGGTGTGTGTGTAGCTGTGAATGTGTGACTGTATGTGTATGTGTTGTGTAGGGTAGAGTAGAGTGTATGTATGTGTGTGTAGTATGCATGTAAGTGTGTGAGAGCCAGGACCCCGACAGCGCCGCAACCGCGGAGCGAAGGGAACTCCCCTCCCCACTATTCAGTAGGGCACCTCCCAAGTTCCTCTCACCCCGCAGCCGTTTCCCTCAGTCCCCTCGCACTCCTCCACCTTGCCTGGCGAGAAGAAAGAGACAGACGACTACGAGACCGGTCCAATCTGTGCACTTGGTCTGTGCTCTCCACCCGGACAAGCCCCCGGTCGCACACATGCAAGCATATATGCGGCCGCGAACCTGCCCAGGACAGAGTACGCAGACCAGACCGAACGAAGAACCCAGGGTTAGGGAGTCAGACCTCAAGACGGAGGCAGGCGCGCATAGCGACGTCTTCTGCCCCCTGTCCTACGACTGCGGCGAGAGCCAGCGAGGGCTGCCAGCTCGCGTGCTCTCTCCGCGTCCTCCTTCTGCGACATCACGGTCTCGCAGAAGGAGGAGACCGCCTCCCAGGACCTGCGGCTGCCCAACATAGACCGAACTACGTTGGGGAGAGACAGGTCCTGGCCTACCACCAGCGTCAGTGCGTACCGCTGGGAGGACCAAGCACTGCACACCTCAAGGGTGTGCTGCGCAGTGTCCTCACCAGCACCGCAGTGATGGCATAGTGGCGCGTCCTCTCTACCTATTTGGTGCAGGTATCTGGCAAAGCAGCCATGACCTGTGAGAATCTGCACCAATCGATAGGTGAGTTGCCCATGTCGCCTTTCCTTCCAGTTTTGAAGGACTGGTTGGATGGCGGACAGGGTGCCGACTCCGGCGGGAGGAGACTCGAATGACCGGGACCACTCCATCATGAGAGTCTCCTCAAATTGTCTGCGCACTGCGACCATCTCAATCGGAGCCAAACGATCGCCTCGAGCGAGAGACTCCTTTCTAGCCTTGTAGACCTCCGTGAGAAGCTTGGCTTCACGCTCCCACGGAGGCATACCGGCCAGTGCACAGGCCGCACCACCGGAAACTGTACGATAGGCTCGAATGGCTCTATTCGCTACGGTGCGCTGGGGTCTTCTCAACAATGCCTTGTTGTGGGCAGTGAGGGAATCGACCCAGACTGGAGCACCGTATAGAGTCATGCTCCTAACGACTCCGGCAAACAGGCGGCGACACACCACGTTCGGTCCTCCTATGTAGGGCAGGAGCCTGCCTAGGGAGACCGCCGTCTTCTCCAGTTTTGGGGCCATCTGGCTGAAATGGTGTGTAAAGCTCCATCTGCTGTCCAGCCAGAGGCCCAAGTATTTGATGTGGGGATTTATACGGATCCCCACTCCGTTTACCCTCAGGTGTGCGCCTGTAGGCAGCCTTTCCCTTGGGCCGTGGAACAAGATGGCCTCCGTCTTGTCCACGGCCACATTAAGCCCTAGCCTTTGAATACGCTCTATTATGAACTCAGTACCGATTTCGGCTAGGCGCTTCGCGGCTCTGTACGTGTGTCCCCTTGCTGTGACCAGAGTGTCGTCTGCATAACAGACTACACTCATTTTGGGGAGAAGCGAGCCGCGGAGCACCCAGTTGTAACCCAGATTCCACAAGAGCGGTCCGAGGACCGACCCTTGTGGAACACCACAAGCCATACGTCGAGAGTTGACCCGTCCAGAGCTGTCTAAATACAGCACCTCTCTCTCTCGAAGGTAGTCATGAACCACCCTACTGAGGTATTCAGGCACTTCATGGAACCTTAGGGCGTCCTCGATAAACTGAAAGGGGAGAGAATTAAAAGCATTTTTAATGTCGAGAGACACAGCTATTAACTTCTCTCCCCTCTCAGTGGCAAAATCGCACTCCTCCCGCAGTTTTAATATTGCATCGATGGTCGAGTGG